AACACTAAAATACAGTATACAAGACAGTCAACATCATAGACAGGACTGGCGAGACACAACAAGATAATATGCTAGGTGAGGCAGCGATGATGCGCAGGCAATCAACTCACAGGGATAAATCCCTTCGTACTATCATTGGTCGATGTCGCACCGGAAACCAATCACGCGCCTTTATGAGAGCCCTTGGTATGTACTCTGAGTCAGCTCATGTCTTTGGTTGTATTTCTTGAAGAATATTTTGGAAAAACCCGCGAAGCAGTGAAGCCGCAAAACATGAAGCGCGAAGTGCCGAGGGAACACTGTATATGCAAAATTCCTTTTCCTCATCGATGGGTAACAATTCGACCTCGTTTTCATGTTTCTCTCCCCCCCGGGGGGGGGCTCTTTCACCCAAATGACTTCTCTAGTCCTTGCTTCTTCCTCATTCGCCCAAAAGCCAATATTGTTCTCGTTAAGATGCTGTCAGCTTAAATGTTTTCCTACAATTTACTTGCATAAAATATTCTACAGTGTAACAATATATTATGTATTTATATGATTATTTCTAAATTTAATAAACGTACAATATATTGTAATGAATGCTTTGAAAATGTCAAAAATGTAAATTTCTATTGAGGCAAAAAATTCAGATTACCACAGTTTAAGCGGTAGAGACAAACCACGTCTGATTCTGGTGAATTTTCAGCTAAATTCGGATCAGTAAAATACTACTTCTTAAGATATTTTAGAAACCTGGAGCTAAATGAAAAGTTTTCACTTCCGGATGCAGCTAAATAATTTTAGTTTTTAAGCATTTACTGCTATAATATTATTCATCACAGGATTCGCGTTATAGTTTGAATTTATTACATAAACATGTATTTATTATATTGCTTTTTTAATATTAACTTAAAAGAAAAATATTTTTATGTGTGCTACCAAAACCCCTCCAAATATCTACTTATAACTACTACAATTCGCCAGCGAAATTTTGGCGACCCAACCTGAACAGACAAAACGTTACTATTTATATTTCAAAAATAAAAAATACTATAATAACTGAGAAGATTAATGCAGATTTGATAAGATATATACTCTAAAATTGAATTGTAATGAAAGTGTCATATTTTTTATTAGACTGTCTACATTTGAAGAAGAGTGGGTTTTGATTAATTGCTGATACACATAAACTATCAGCTTAGTAGGAGGGTTGTCTTCATAGAATTCTTTTTAACGGAAATTGACTTATCTTCACGTTATATATATTTATATACGGGGAATTCCGGTCTTTCTTTAAGGAGTTAGTATGCATGAATATATGTGAAATTTTTTAAGGCAAGGATTTTCAAAATATTGCTGCAGATGAAAAGAACATTTTTAGCGTCCTAATTCATTATCAAGAATTTTAAGCAAAATTAAAGTATTCGTTTAGTAAAAAAGCTTTTTAATTCATTGTGTTACTCTACAGTAATCCCATTTAACATTAAAAACAGATGATGCGAATGAAAAATAATGTTTCATTATTGCATGAGAGTAAGCATTATTTTATGTATATTAAAGTTCAATTTGTTTAAACTAATAATGCTATTACACTTAGTTAAATATTATCATGAGGTGTTAAACATTTTTTTTAAACTGCGCATGATCTAAAATTGTGCATACTATGTACATAAATAAACAAATGTTTAAAATTGAAACTTAAATTGTTATGTTCAAATATTATAATATTTACGCTAAAAAATTCCCATTTTTCAGCTATAATATGTTATACAAAATCTGGTAAAGCTTAAAAAATGCAAATGCAAAGCTATGACGTGACACTAAATTTTCTTTTTTTAAACTTTATTTAACATTTCAACACTTAGGCTTCTAAATGAATGTAGTAGTTCACAACATTAATATAATTTTCTAATAAAATTTTATTGCTTAATTATTTTGCTTCAACAATTTTTCATTTAATTCTCCCTATTTCAACTGGGGCGTTCGTAGTTTATTGCTGCAACTAAGCTTCAGCGTATCTGATTCATTATCTGCTTTGTCTTCTTGCGTTAGACGTCGAATTATTGAAAATACGTTTAAATAGGCAACGACACCTTTTTTTTTTTTAATTTAGAATGTCACTCTTCAAATTTATTATTAATTGTGGCTTTTTCATTTGAGCAGTGACTCTAGATATTGTTGAAAAAGAAAATAGTTAAAATTTGGATGTAAAATTCTGCTTCATCTATATTTTTTCGTCTGGAATGCTTGTGCGATTTTTTTAATTAATATAAATCATTTTAATTAATTAAAAGTGTTTTTAATGCCATGTATTATGTACCATACTATAGAAAATAATCATTTGCGCGAGAGTTTAACAATAAATTCTTAATATTACAATTTTTCTGAAACACAGTGTAGATATACCGGGTGATCCCAATGTCCGTTAACATTTGAAAATCCAATAATTCACTGAATAATGTAGGTAGAGAGGTAAAAACTGACACACATGCTTGAAATGTTATCGGGTTTTATTGAAAGGGAAAAAAAAAGTGATTAAAACGGCCAACAAATGGCTCTTAAGTAATAATTAGCATAACAATTGATATTTAGCAAAGACTATGTTCTTTATAACAAATTTTCAGCATGTCGGCCGTCATTCATCAAAAATACGTATAGTCGAGGGAAATATTTGTAGGTATTATGAGAAATTGCGTCGTAGGTTGTCTTTTAGCATCGCTAATGAGGTAGGATGATCGCGGTAGACTTGCGATTTCGGGTAACCCCACAATTAATAATCACACGGGACCTGAGAGGCCAAAGTGGTGGCTTAGTATGCGATCCTCATCAAACGGCATGTGCAAGAGATCTTTTAAACGTTTAACAATATGGGGGTAGGGCGTCACCTTGCATAAAAGTTATACCTCGTGTTTATCAGTCAGACTAGGATGATGCGATTCTGTAACACACCAGCATACCTCGCATCCGTCACACTGAAAGTTTGAATAGCAGAAACATGCATTTCGTCGAAGAAAAAGGGGTCCGATCACGATTGACGTAATAAATCCACATCACACCGTGACCAGCACCCGGAGGCGAGGATAGAAAACCGACAAAGTCATAAAGGGACTGATTCCCTCTATCACTACAGCTCATTTCATCACGATTCTCAAAAATGTTGCGTCACTGACATTTTACTGCCGAGCGCCATATGTTGGATTTCACCGCCTTTTATAAAACCCCATGTTATTTCAAGCATGTGTGTCAATGTTTACCTCTCTACTCATTATTCCTCATTATTCCGTGAATTATTGAATTTTCAAATGTTAACGGACTTTTGGGTCACCCAGTATATATATATATATATAAGAGAATTCTTTTTAAGCTGACTAAATTATTTTTAATGATAACTAAATGAAAATTAGATTACATAGTATTAGTATATAGTCTAAGTAGATAGTCGGAAAACAAAGGAAAGGACAATCCAGAGTCGTAACTAGGGTTTTCAGCGCCCAGGGACAACTGAAGATTTCGCGCCCCCTACTGGTTGGTTGCCAAGGATGGAAAACTTTTAATTCTAAAATGTCGTAACATCAGTTTGGCGCCCCTTGGATTCCGCGCCCGGGGACAGATGCTCCCCTTGCCCCCCTCTAGCTACGCCCCTGGTGACACTCTTCTGGAAGTGATAAGGGGGGAGGAAAATTAGGCAACATGTCATTTCTCAAAAAGACATATAAACCGAAAAATACTCCTTACAATCAGAATTTGTCTTTTTAGTTATGTAATACTCATGGGAGTGTTCTGTGTGTGCGTGTGTATGCATATATCTATATGAACATTGATAAAATACCCTCAAATTTAATATAAAAAATAGAATAATAAGGAACACCAAATTCTGTCAGATACATGCTTATAGTTCAGCACAATTATATCAGAGGGAGAAGAAAAGAATTTACTTATTATCTCTGCCTTCATGAAAAGAAAGAACATGATGAAAACAGTAATAAATGATTGCTGTAATTGTGAAAAGAGTTTAAAACCCTAAATAAAGTTTACTTAAATGACCATCTGTGTCGCTAATTCCAATAAAATAAATATCGTAGGTAAAGGGGATGATTCTCTCTTTTCCATTAATATCCGCCGACCATATGGTTATATATCATTCTCAATCATCTAAGTTAATTTAATAGCGTCTTAAAAACGTATACTGTATTGCATTAAATTTTTAGGTCATTTAAATCAGTGAAAAATTTTAAAACATTTGAATAAATCAACATGATTCTCATTTTTATTAAGTACAAAAAGAGCAGTTGATATAGATGTATGGAGTTCTAACTGAATATTTGTATACAAAATCTACCTTGGAAATGACCATCAATAGAGCTGTCTTCATAGAATGACAGACCCAAAAGCTCTCTCAACATGAACAAAAAATTTTTCAGAATATGGGCTTTCTATACTCACAGAGGCCAGAGCAATACTCAGACTTAAGACAGCTTTCTCCTAAAGCTTCTTTGTTCATGATAGACTTTATCAATTAAAATTTATATCGCACAAAAATACTTCTCTGAAATAAAAAATTATCAGTAAATAGAAGTATCGAAGATATCAACAAATTGTTAAAAATATTTGTTCTACATGTAAAGTGAATTTTTCAGTCTGTTAGAAATGACATATGCTGAAAACAAAAATCGCCAAGTACCACTTTTCAAACATTTCCATCAAAAATTTTCTCATTTACATATATGTAATAATAATTCCCACAAAAATCCGTTATTTACATATCTCTAATAATTCCCACAAAAAATTTCTGTAGTTGCTTATCTGTAATTATAATTCCCACAAAAATTTTCTGTACTTACTTATCTGTAATTATAATTTCCACAAAAATTTTCTTTATCTGTAATTATAATTTCATATTACTTCATTTAGAAGGTTTATCTCAAATAATACAGATAAACAAGATTCTATGGTGTATGTACATTTATGTCTTGCATTTAAAATTATGTTTCCATTAAAAAAAATTTTTTTTTTTTGGCTAGACATGGCTCGTTCAGTAATTGGCATGTACATCGTTGGATTCTTTTTTATATTCATATCATTCTTTACTGGTGTTGCTGGATGTTGGAAAAGATCCAAGGGTAATATTTTAGCAACTGGATTACTGCAAATGCTAGCAGGTTAGTACTTTTAATAATAAATCCTTTTTCTTAATAATGTTCATTTAAATATAGGGCTTTAATTCTAGGACATTCCACACTTCTAACCTTCCCAGAAATATGTGAAGTTTATGCGAAGTTGCTTTTGCAACTTATCATACAGCTTTGTACCTTTATTATAACATTTTGTACATTTACAATTTTACAACTTTATATATTTACTATAATATTGTAAAATTTTGCAATTTTTATTAGCATTTATATATTTTTCATTAACATTCATAATGTCATACAATATAAATTTGAACAGGGGGAGGATTTGAAATAAATCATTAATAAAAAAATGGAACAAAGTGCAATGAATACTTTCACACACATATAAATTAGTGTAATTTCTAAAAGAATGTTAAGTGCTTTTGATCTGACAGAACTTCTTTACATTTCAGATATAATTCAGAATGTTTTCACTAAATTCGATGAAGATAAAATATTTTGCAACCTTATGATTGATTATATTCTCATTTCATTGAGTGTAATTCACTCAGATTCTATAATCATTTGCATATACTAAAAATTAATCAGTTATTTTATAGTTTTAAGACTTATTTAATTTCTGAAAAACTTCTGAGCACATTATTTTTATATATGATACTGAAGTTTATAAAGATCTAGCAATTAACAATCTTCAGTTTCCTTAAAAAAATGGAGTTGTATAATATTGCTATTTTTTTACTTGCATACTTTAAATTTATTTCAGCGTGTAAACATTTTAATAGTTTATGACATAAGAACTGCAGCATAAAATTACAAACACTTAATGATGCACATAAAGTCTAAAAATATTGCTTTTTTTTTACTTGCATATTTTTGTAATTTGTTTCAGCATGTAAACAATTTAATAGTTTGACATAAGAATTGCAGCCTAAAATTACAAATACTTTTAACAGTTAATAATGCATATAAAATCTAAATTCAATAATTTCTTAATTAGTAAGCATTTTAACTGAAATGGCACAGTAATTTTAAGTAACATTAAAATTTATATAATTTCATACAGATATGAATACAAAACACTGATAATTATTAAGTGTCTGACTAGTTTTATGCATGTTTATTTACCTCACACACCTTTCTAACATGCTTTTTAAATACATATGTATTCAATTTATCATAAATGTATTAATTGAATGTATATCTATTAGGTAACATCTGCAGTGATGGTAATTAGCATAGCGAGCTAATTACATTAAATAATGCATGCATTATCTAACAGATATATATGTGATGATTTGCATACTTTATTGTTCTTCATACTGCAGCTTTATTCATGCATGAGCAAAAAGCAGTTTAAACAAACACGTTATTTAAATATATAATTCTGTTTCTTGAATTTCATCATCTGCAAATTACTAAGTATTAAACACTTCAGTATTTTGATAATATATATGTATTTTGATAACTTATCTGGTGATAAAAACCTATTTTTCATATTTCCTGTAACATGTAAATAGGTTAATAAAACATGTACTAGTTCAAAATTACATCATTCAGTACTTCGACTCGGGCGTTCCTTTGGAGTCGCGGCTCAGGCACCCGTGCAATCCCAGGATAACTAGATGAAGATTTTCGATCACATTGAAGTTCAGTACTTCAGACATATCAAAGTTTGATTTTTATTCAGATGAAAATTTATAATTTTCTATTACTTATGCATACAAATTATTTTATTGTAAAAAAAGTATTTATTACTTCAATTCAATTTTCAATGACTTTTCCATGTGGAAAAAAATAACCATGCAATTTTTTTAAAGTTCAAATTATTTGTTACATGGAATCTGTTTTGGCAGAATATTTTTGAAAAGATTGAATTTTGTGAAAATTTAAATATTTAATCATGTTTTAAGTACTTAATTATATACTTTGACATTCCAAAAAGTGTAAATAATTTTAAAATCTTTAGGTTTAAAAATCGCACTTTTTTCAATGTATATATAATTAATGCTAATGTATGCTATGTTTTTCAGCTCTTGTAGATGCTGGAGCAATGGGACTATGGCATGGAGTGCATTATTATGATTATCAAAAACTCACTGATGAAATGTCATACTATAACTGGCCAGATGTGAGTATTTTATGTCTCTTTCAGTATTTTGCAAAATTATTTGAGTGCACTGTTAATTACTTTAAAGTTATATGTACTTTTTATTACAAATAACTTGCTTAATTTTCAATACCATTCAAATATAGTTAGCTCAAATTTTTATGCATCTGTACTAATATCAAAAGGTTTATGACAGCTTTAATGGCATTTCCATTTATAAACTTCTTCTTCTTCTTCTTCTTTTTTTTTTTTTTTTTTTTAGTTTAGTTCATAAAATAGACTGACCACTGTAAGTAATAATCTGTAATCTCTTTGCATGTTTAAATATTAAGAAGCAAAAAATTGTCAATGCTTTTATATTAAGAGAACTTGTAGGAGAACTTCAAAGCTCTTGGAAAAAAAAAAAAAATTTCTTTTTTAAAATAAATATTTATTAAATAATAATTAATAGAGTATAAAATTAGTTCATCGGACAATCCTTAGATTTTTCTTAATGACACTTTTATTTTCAGTTTCACTTTTTCAAATAAAAGAAGGAAATTTGTTAATCATTATATTACCTTTATGAGATTTTGTGACTATCATCAGACCATGATTATGATCAGATTACTCTTTTCTAGGGTCAAATATACATGTCATGCACACTCTTGACATTAAATTAAGCTAAAAAAATGGCAGCCCTGTCAGTTTGTTTTTCTATTCTTTGCTGTCTAAATAGATGACTAAGTGGCTACAGTACATAAAAAATTAAAAGCTAAATTGTTGAAAATGCAAATTAAAACTGATAATTTTAAATTAAAAAATATAGTGTTATACCAACTACAAGTTTCAAATTAATCTTTTAATGCACCAATAAAAATTCAAAAAGTGGTCTTTTGTGGCAGAAGATCCTACCAATTTTGTATTCTTTATTTTAACTCAAAAATTGTAGCAGAAGTATCTGGGGGGGGGAATACTTGAACGTATTTATTTACTCAGGTATAGAGAAATAATTTAGTTTGGTGTACTCTAATTAACTCAATCGAGTGCATTAAGAGGTTGAAAGTGTTTAAATTTGGTGTAAAAATAATGTAAAGAGAAAACTTAAGTGCACTGTAAGATTATCGTTTAAAATTTTCTAGTATGAAAATTAGTAAATGTAATTAGTTTTTATATGCATATGGTTAATACTGATTGAATTGTCAAAACTCCAAAAAGTGTCTTGAATATGGATGGTAGTTTATACTGTTATAGTTATTAACAAACAAAATCAACCTCTCTTGTATCTAGAACATAATATATCATAAAAAATATACGCATATCCTTTTTATGTAGTTCTTTCTTAAGTTCCATATAATAAAAGAAAATATTAGCACTATTTACTACACTAATGCTTCTATAAACATACATTAGCATTTAAAAGAGTATTTATAAAAATTAATATACTGGTTATCATAAATTAAGGAAAAATCACAAAAATAGCAATAATTCCCTCAAAAATAAGCCAAACCGTGTAAAATTTGAATATGTTGCCAAGTAAGAGTAGCTGAGTAAAACTCCAATATGCAAATTAGTGACACTGCACTCAGAATACGTCTTCTGCGAGGAGCATAAAAGTCCATATTTGAGAGAAAGCCCACATATTTCAATGTGATAGTGACATCAGAAATCTGAGATAGCTAATTCGTTACAATCACCACCGGGCATCATTTGCCTGCAGAACTACAATGAAGAGCCATTGAGAGACTAGAGGCAGGACAAAGTCAAACAGAGGTGGCCAGATGTCTAAATGCGAGTCCTTCTGTGGTTCATAGACTTTGGACGCAATTTCAAACCACAGATTCGGTATCTAGGAGGTTCAGCAAAGGACGGCCAACTGCTACGATGAGCGTCGATGACCGATATTTGACATATGTGCACGCAGGAATAGAACCACTACTCCAATTCTTCTTAGGTCCTCCCTTGCTGCAGCCACTGGAAGGTTCGTGTCAACGTCAACTGTGCGTAGAAAAGCTTCACGAAGGTGGTCTGTATGCGAGGCGACCAGCCATTTGCATGCCTTTCACGTCACGCCATAGGAGGAAGCGTTTGCAGTGGGCACAACAATATGTTCACTGGACGCTTAATCAATGGAGGGATGTTCTCTTTACGGATATGAGTCCAGGTTTAGTCTAGAAAGCGATAGTAAGAGTTATTTGATATGGAGAGAACCCGGAACCCATTACCATCCGTCAAACATTAGTGAAAGAGATGCATATGGGAAAGACAGTGTCTGTCTTTGGGGTGGCATCTCTTTGGGTAGACGCACAGACCTCCATGTCTTTCCAAGGGGAACCATGAATGCTCAGGTTTATAGAGATGACATCCTTGATGTTTATGTGTTCCCATATGCTGGGGCAATAGGTGATACTTTCCTGTTACAGGACGACAACGCAAAACCACACAGGGCTCGCATCGTAGATGATTATCTTCAACAGGAAACAATTATGCACATAGAAAGGCCAGCTCGATCCCCTGACTTGAATCCTATCGAGCACGTTTGGGATGCTTTAGGAAGACGTCTAGCTCCTTTCAATCCGCCCCCTCAGACCCTTACTGCGTTTGCAACTGCTTTGCAAGAGCAATGGCTCTCGCTTCCTATGTAACTGGTAGACCGCATAATTGAAAGCGTCACACATCGGTGTATGTGCTGTATTGCTTCTAGAGGCGATCATATTCCATATTGAAGGTACTTTTCCTATAGCAAACTGACACCTTCGATTTGTTCATTTTATACATGTGCTAATTTCTGTACTATCATATTTGTCTGGTAATTTCTTTTTATGTTATTTGATACTTTACTATATGTTGTACATTGTGGGTCTTTTTCAGTAATCGGGATTTTTGTCATTTTTCCTTAATTTATGATAACCAGTGTATAATGATTTGTGTCAATTAATAACTCTTTGAAATTTAAAGCCATTCTCTGGCCTCAGATTCAGTAAAGGTTTACATCATGTTGGGACAAATCGTATCTTATATTTTCTTTTCAATTTTAGATGACCTTTAAAATATATCCTAAAATGTTAAACTGCTTACCTGCATCTTTTTTCTATTCCTAATATTGATGAACTATGATCTTTATCATGAAATTCTTCATTTTGTATCTATCCTTTCATTTGTCTGCATTAATCAGTAAGTTACAGGTATCTAGGTAATATCTTGTTTCTTTTTCTTATCAGTATGTCATCACATGTCACATGTCAGTTTTATTCTTAAGATACAAAATGCTACTTTATTTTTGAAGTAAAAAAACTATAATTGTTATATTTGATAATTTTAGGATTAAAATACAAACTGTTTATAAGAGAGATAAGAAGTATAAAGGATCTAAATACCCTCTACAGTAAAATTCTTTTTACTTTCTTGTACAAAGTAAAGGAAGTATTATAACCTAAACAATTTCAGGTATCGTATTTCTACAGAAATATCCATTTTGACCATTCCCGAATCCATTTGGACAATTTTTTTGCATGACTTTTGTACATACATGTGTGCATGACATCTATACATGCATATGTACATATGAGATATATATATACATACGTATCTTGATTAACTATTAATTTTGGACAAACAACAAAATATAATTTTTGTGATCTCCCAGTTCCTATAAATTTTATACTCATTATGAATAAATAAAATTAATAGAAGTTTGACTCCCATGCAACAAAAATGGACCACGATATTTAATTTTAAAATTTGCAATTTTCGATGTCATTTTCAACTTATTTTGAGAGATAAGGAAATAAGTTTAAATGAAGTGCAGCAAAAAATGTGCGTAACTTAATAGGCTGTGCAAGTAAGTCCTGTGGTATGCATATCAGATTTTTTTCCTCCATAAATAATTTCATTTCTGCAGTAATGTATTTTCAACAAACTGAACATTTTAAACATATAACTAAGGTTCTCTTAGCTATAAGTGTTGTAGATTCTGCTTTGTTGATGTTTCAAGGCACAAAATTGTTTTAGTAACTATCCATAACCCTAAATGCTTCTAAACATCCTCTTTCATATCTCGTAATTAAAAAATACACAGTACAAATTTTCATTCTGCTAAAGTGCACGATATTTTGGCATTCCTTTTTTCACTTGTTTGGTCTCACTGAGTGCAATTCTTTTTACAGAAAAATTGCTTTATTTGGTTCTTAGCTGAAGAAAATTAAAATTGCTGTGTGTAACTTTCATAAACTGTAACGATTTCTGATGTAGTATCTGAACTTACTCAATACATAAAAATACTAGTCTGAGTCATACACTAGAATTTTACTATAAGGTTGTACAGCTATAGTCTCACTGCACTAGCAAAGCAGCCATGTGACAGTTTTGAGATAGAATATTTCAGGGCACAATCCAAGGTTCCTCACCCCTCTTCCTCGTTCGAGAGGACTTTCGACTTGTCGTGTATTTGGAGTGTCCCCCCCCCCCATGCTGCACACACATTATGTACTTGCAAACACACTTGCTTTCTAAGGAATTCGAACCCAGGACCTGCAGTATGGCAGTCAGCATCACTAACCACTATACCACTCGGGCAGTGCTCAACAGATATATTATGTTCTTTGATTGTGGTATTACAATGTAATGCAGATTTTATTGTGTATTAGAGTAGATCATTAAGAAAGTTATTTTTATAAAGAGTTTTTTTAACCTTTTTTTGGGGGGGGACTTAATAGGCAATTATATTGAAAAGAATGTTTTTCTAAAATAGCCAATTTTAAACTACAAAACAAATCTTAAAAAGCCTGGGTTTGAATCGCTTTTTCATACATACTAATTTGCTTATGTTTATTGATTTTGAAATAAAACTCATTCACATCCATCTTTCAAATTATCCATATTACAAAGTCAAAAAAGTTTACAATGAACATAATCTAATAATACAGAAGAAAAGCATTTAATTTCTTTAGGCAATACAGTCCACCAGTGACTGAATGCTGGTAGTTCAGTTCCAGCTGGGGGTTCCAATCCTGCTGAACAGGCTGACTACATGGATGGTTTTGTGTTTCTCCCATGAGTAATGTGTATATGAGCCAGTTTTCCCTTAGAAAATCCTAGATATCCCTTGAGTGCTTTGTTATAATTAAAGAAACAAAATAATGAATGGGCAATATCCATTTTGTATGTCTAATTAAAACCAGTTATCAAAATTACTATCCAAAAATTTTTCAACATTATTTCACATGTCAGTATTAAAGGAGGAAGTCTTCCTGGTTGGGGGTTATATATGAATATGAATGGTCATATAACATTAAAAAATATTGCTAATATTAAAAAATATTTATAGTAAAGTATATTATTATGTCTCTTTATTATATGTGTTATAAAAGAAATAAGTTTTCTATAAAGTCAAATTTTTAAATGTATTTAAAATTCAGTAAGAGAAAAACTGTCTTTTATTCTATAGGTTTTGAAGATGAATGGAGTTACTCAATTCTTTTATGGCTGGTCATATATTTTAGCCTGGATTGGTGTTGGCATGTGTCTTCTTACTGCCATCTTATTCCTTGGTGCTGCATGCTGTGTAGTTCATGAGAAGAAACTGGAACAAGCAAAAAATATGCAATATCTGATGCCTGTTTATCCAGATAAACGCCAGCCGTATGGTTATGGTTATGCTTATCCTGGGCCATATTATACTCATGGTTCCCAATATGGTGGTCCATATAGTTACTAAATGGTCACCTTATTTAATTGCCTTAAATTGCAAGGTAAACCTTAGTTTTACTGCTGACTTTGAAAAAGAAAGATGAAGATTATGAGGATTATCGTATGATACATTGAACTGATGTTTTTAATGGACTGCCTGGATGTGTGATCGACACAAATACCTCTTTGAAACTGAATAATTTCTTTGTATATCAAGGAAATGGACATTCAGCGATGGCTGTTTTTTGCATATTGTTTTTAAGTATACATCAAGAGCTATATATGAAATGGTTAAAAAGATTACTGGTTAGTTATTGTAGCTTTTACAGAAAGCTCTGATCATATCTTGAAACAAAATGTTATGTGTCAAAGTACTTGAGTCTACATATTGCATATTTTTTTAATTATATATTTTATGTAACCACAGTTAAAAAGTAATAAAAGCCTTAATTTATTTCAGCTCATAAACAAAGCTAAGTTTATAAAGGCTTTAAAACATAAGACTGAAGATAAAGCAAACATCTTAGATTTACAAATATAGTGTGAACAAAGATATTTTCCCATTTTGCTCTTTCTTTTGCTGTATGTATATAATAATATAAATACTAGCATATGTAAATAAGATATTTTTTTCAATTTATTAAGTGCCTTAATAAAATTTTATTATTGGTTATTGTACAGATATGTGCTGTAATCAATAATTAAAATTTCTACAAGCTTCTTAAGTTGGGATACTTTGCCAATTATAGTTAATATTATATTTTTCTTTTAAGACATTAAAATATTTAAATTTCAAATAATTTGAACTTTCATTGTATTTTTATAATTTATTTCATTCTTCTTTTATGATTTTAATCTATTTTTCAAAAGTGAATGTTTTGATATTTTTATATAAATATTCCTTAAAACTGATTTTATCTAACTTGTCTGTTCTTGAATAAAATCCATTGTGAGTATTTGATTTTAATTTAAACAGTAAAAACACATTTTTCAGTTTATATAGTCCTATTAATTTTTTTATTAAATTCAAATTTTGCCTTTAACATATAGTTTAAATACAATTTGTACTGTACACCTGATTGTATTTATATACTACATAGCAACCCTCATACCAAGGTACTAAAGTATTATCATTGACCATGTTGTGATTCTCCAGACAGCATGTGTGTGATAGGTAATGTACCGGAATCTTCTTCAATTGCACTACAGCTTGACACGGCAAAGGCCGTCTCAATAAGCTCCCTCCAATGGATCTGATTAGTCGCTATGGTCTCCAATGATTGATTTTTAGACCTGACATATGCCTCCACACAGTCTACCCATCTTGTGTGAAGTCTTCCTCTTTTCCTGATACCCTCTACACTTGCAAAAATTACCTTTTTAACAGGATTCAAGTTGTTACATATAAAAATATGTCCAAGCCACCTGATACGAAAAGATTTGATGCCTTGGACAATATTAGGTTGTATGTATCTTTTACATATTTCATGGTTAAGCAAAATTCATCTATTTTTTGCAGTATTTTTCATTCAAAGATTAAAAATCTTACTTCATTCGTGACCGGTAATGCCGAAGAAACAGGCAACTATTTGATGTGTTTCTCCCGTGAACAACTTTTGTTGGATTTGGCTAACCCTACAGTTGACTGCTATTTTATTTCAAGCTCATATGCATAGATCCATGAACATACATATAAAAAATGTTCTTTGCTTTTAAATTCTCTATTGACAAATCAGGAGATTATTAGTGTATAAAGTCACGAAACATTAGTTGAATAGGTTATGGCATGATTCACATATAGTATGGGCCAGTTAGTCTTAATCCTTTCATAAAGGCTGATAATCTTTGGATACTTTATCGTAATTGTATTTGACATGAAAAATTTTATCAGAATGTAGATTCTGAGATTTTCTTCTTTCAGAGAGTTTAATTTTTTTCTTTTTGAATACCTATAGAATACAAAAAATTTAGAAATTTAAGTATAATTTTATAAAGTAAATGAACTTATAGTTTTTATCCATTTATCAATTTAAATGATTTTTTTAAAAAATAACTACGTATTCGAAATGGAAACAGGTTTAAAAATTTTCTCCACACAATAAAATTTCTAAGTTTTTAAAAGTAATTCATTTCAAGCACAGATTTCAAACTAAAGAATATATACTAACAACATACATAATAATGCATATTTATGGCATGAAAACTTAATAGCATGTTTATCCAGTTTTCATTGTATATAAAATTTATCACATTTCATTTCATAATATTTGCATATTAAATCAGTCTTATCAGATGCAAGGTATATACTAATTGTATTAGTTACAGCTCTTTAAAATCAATTCAGAAAATAATTTGTAAAGTTCTTTAAAAAAATTAAATGTGTGATCTCAACAAACATGAAATAAAAATTCCCAAACTAACGTACTTATGCAAGAAATGAGCTAACTGTTATAATAGGAGGCCTGTCCTGGTTTTTCTAATGGTTATAATAACATACACCACACATCAGCGCAGTGTTTGTGTGAATATGAAACAGGATCATTATCAGTATTCTTTTGGATATAATCATTGTCATAAAATAAGGGCTATCAACACATGTGAAACAGAACAGCTTGTGCTGCTTTTTTATTGTGGTCATAAGGAAATGATGACTATTTAGAAATGTGATAGATATTTTATACAGAAACTTAGTTATATTCTGATTGAATGTGTCATAGCTGGTCTCGGAATTCGTCACTGGTAGGTTACCTATGATGAGAATAAATATAAAAATTTCTGTTTAAGTACAAATATTGGCTTTTCATAACAAATTTAACATATCTTTGTAGAGGCTGTGAAGTTGACACAAAAAATTTATAAACAAGTTTTTTCTGCATCTATTGTTAAATAATAGATGCAGAAAAAACTCGTTTTATAAAACTAAATTCAAAACTAAAAATTGGCTAATAATGTCAAAGAATAACATTTCATTATCAAGATACTTAAACGTAAGATATCTTAAAGAATAATAGAAACAAGGTATGCAAACAAAAGCTGACCAGTCATGTTACTTGGTTTTGTCAATGTTTGGTATTTGTCATATTTATTGAAAAGTATTCCGATAACACATTTTAATGTATTCAGTATATAAATAGCTATTTATACTGATACTTTTCTTCTCCCTGCTGCTGATTAATATAATTACATTTTTAAATACAGAAAATAGTGGCTACATTTCCCAATTCCTTCATTTAATTTTACTACACTAATGCTTTACAAATAAATTTGTAAAAATGAACTCCAAAATAATCAATATATTAGTTTATTCTTATAACAGCACATGAAACAGAGTATCAACGTAACATCCACATTAAAAAAATTATATCAGCACTGCATTCCAACAGAAATTAGGAACGAATTCAATACTTTTTCTTTTTGTGGGAAGAATGGTACACTGTTATTAAAATTTGGTTTATAACAGTTGATCTATGAGATTAAGAAATATAGATATCTGATCTACATGTTTGAAATATTAATTAAAACATGAAAAAGTAATAAACATAATAATATATCTTATTTATTAATCTTATTGAAAAATTATTTTACACTTAATTTACATTATAAAATGAATTCAAATATATTTAATCCTTGTAGGAAATCTGAATTTCAATTTGACTTTTGCTCACGTTTTACAGTTCTGTATGACTGCATAATTACTTCTGTGATTTCATTCACTTTTTCCACAGTCAGATCACCACACAGATTCTAAAAATAAAAAAAAGCAACTTTTTAATGGAAAAACTAGAAACTGAATTTCATTACACTTTTAAAACAAATCTCTTCAATTTTAGAAACCAAAGAGAAGAAACTCAAATATACAGGTAGAAATAGAATATACAGAATAATAGAACAAGTAGAAAATATAAATCGGCTTACTTCCATGTTTCCATTTTCTTCAAACTGCTTTTTAAAATCCCACTTCAATCATCAACAATTATATATTTACAGTACAAGATATTTTTTCTCTGTAAGAATTTGAAAAATGTACCCACAGGCTTTTTTTTACTGATCATAGATATGCACTTCCAATTACAGTATTTCCCAGTTTAAGGACAGCTCATTTCATGAAAACAGTTCATTACTGAGAGCGAACAGTTCCAAAAATAAAGAATTTAAATTTTTTTATATGGACCTGAACAGCAAAAAGTGTAATTAGAATAATGTTCATTATTTTTTAAAGTTTAATATAAAAATTTCTGTATAAGTGTATGGAATAATAGTTTGCATAACATAAATATGCATTGTTATGTATGTTGTTATTTTGTATATATTATTTAGTTTTATTAATTCATTTCAAGCACAGATGTAAAACTTCAAGTTTTAAAAGTATGTGGAGTAAATTCAAGGAAACATTATCAATTAATAGTTTCATGCAGCTATTAAATGGTTAATATTTTTTTAAGCCCAATTAGTCCCAAAACAGGATTTTACGTTACTATAAAAGTCTGAATCACTTTTCAGATTCTTGCCACCAAACATTATCACCCTGTTTTTGCTTTGTCGTGAAGTTAGAACTGAATTAATTGAATGAGAAATACTGAATTGTCTGTGGAAAAAAAATTTTTTTTTTTAAATTTCTTTTCTACATTGTTTTAGATTTATTATAGTATTTGAATAGAACATGTGGCAATGATTAGATAATTTTTCAGATGATATAAATTTTGTGCATTCTGAGTTATAAAATGAATGAAATGTAACGCTGTTAAGTGAACCTAGCGCCAGAGTGTTACTATGGTAAATAAATATAGTGAATTTTAAAGAGCGCTTTTATTCTATTATGGTTTATGCGCTATCGATGAAGTAGATTTAATTTAATCCCATAAGTTTAAATGAAATGGAAGAAAAAATGCGTATAATTTAATATTCCATACAAGGAAGTCGTGGTGTACAAATCAGATTTTTTTAAAAGGTAAAATGCATTAACACATGGACTACCCCGAGCTCTTTTTAGGATAAGAAAAGTATGCATGATTATGAATTACTAATATGTATATGAAAAAAGAAAATACAATGACATGTGGTTTACTCTGAACTCTTTCTTGTCACAAGTAAACTATAAATGATTGTGGTTAGTACTGCCGGCCTTTTGAAGGACATTGGGGATTTATTAGTCATCTTGGTTTTGTAATAATAATTAATTAATTTTAAATACCTGTAATATTTTTTTCAGTTCAATTTATTAATTGTCTTATGCCAATCTAAACAGAGGAAAAATATATTTGCATTAATTTTTCTCTAACTTAAAAGTGATGACATCTAGTTTATTAGTAGCTATTAAATGACAAACAAGAATATCGTACTGACACATATCTATCACTATGCCTGCGCCGATATTCAAACCTGGACCTCTCGAATACATGACAAGTGTGCTACACACCATGAAAGCATGCAGAAAAGGAGAAAATACCTTATATACTTACAAATATAATAATATATGTATAATATTTCAATAAAATGCTAAAAATAAAAGTGCTAATCAAAACAGACAATGTTCTTAAACAAATATTACCTGATACCACGGTACAGTCATAACCACCTCATTTAAAAGTCCAAGAGAAGTCACTGATGCATTTATACAAGCAATAGCAATATGTTCTGCTCTATAGTTCAAACACTTCTTCTGCATATAAAAATCTGATAAAATTTGCATGCATATCTCACTCACAGGTTGACGAAACTCGAATATTTCTGTACTTCTTTCAAATAGTATAGTGAAGAAAGGCACCAAATACTGTAAAAAAGCAAATACATACAATGTATTAGCTGAGAAATTTATAATAATAAGTATCTTAATAAAAGCTCTTTAAATATAAATTTGTGAATTTAAAAATGATATACAAAGCCAAATTGATTACAGTGATATTTTCAAATAACAGAATGCATATTCATATAATTTCATCAAAATATTATCAAATTAAAAGATAAAATATCAAACACAAACTTTCATTCATTCATTATGATAATACTTATATAATTAAAGAAAACAAAACATTTTAAGTAATAGAGCACATACCAAATGACAAAAAATCTCATGACCAGATAAAGGCAGTTATCGCATTCTGACTGGATAAAGGTGGCATGCCATTCAGGTTAATAACTATTTGTGTGTTTCTTTATATTATTATGGCTTCACAGCTTAATGACATGACATGACTTGGAAATAATGTTAGTATGACAAGGATAATGTTGTGCCATTTAATATGACAGCAATTTCTTTAAAATGGTTGTTGGTGATAGAATCAATATCATTTAGTAAAAGTACATTAACTCAGTTTACATTGTTTACATTTGAGCATCACAATCACGAATGGTATGAAATGAGTTAAAACAACAAAAATTTGTCTTTATTTATATATATAAACAAAAATTTGTCTTTATAATTTTTATTTGTCAAAAATTTAAATTTATTTTTGTCTTTATATAGTCATTTATAAAAAAATTACACAGAAAATTGTTAATTGCTGAAATTTAAAAAGAAACAAACAACTTTTATATTAAAAAATTCACCATATTAAATGTAAAACTGAGCTGAATGTTAAGCATGTTGAATGTTAATGAAATTTAACAGGCAAGTACCATTGCTTCTTTTTTTAGATGCACAGGTTATTACTTTGCTTTTTAAAAACCTTCCTTTTTATATGCAGACAGACTTAGCTATAATAAGCCTGGCTTATAAAAAAAAACCCCAGGTTATAATGGACAAACATTTTGGTCCTGTCTAGTTCTCCAAACACTTATTGTCATTTCATATGGTTATAGTGAACTTCTAAATGTGTAAAAGTTTAATATAACGAACTACATGGATACCCTTGACTGAAATGTTTTCTGTACTTTTAATAATTTTTCCGGAATTTCTTCAAGTTTTAATTGAAAAGGTTAATAGCCATTAAAATCGTCTATGTTTAGGATGTTAGAATAACAGAGAATGCTTTTGCATTACTCTTCTTTTTATGTTCACTCCCACCTTTGTCTATGTTCTAAGTAAAAGCTAATTGAGGCAGTACAACATCTAGTTCTTAGAGAACTAGAACATACAAAAAGCATATCGTAAGATACTATATAGTGATACTATATAGTGTCTGTTACTTTTGAGTCAGTGGGTTCTCTGTGTTTTGACAACCAGAATACCTGTTTGTCTCACCAGAGCGCCTCTCTATCTATGAGGATTTATTTCGCATTTTTCTTCATTTTTTTATTACCCTTTTAACTACTAACTGCAACTTTCTCGCTTTACCTTTTGCTGTGTGATGCTCCAAAGTTGAAATTACTGAAGAAAAAGATGAAATTTACAGTCCACACGCAAATGTTGTATTCTTAATGCTTATTATTTACTTAACGCATGAAGAAACACTCTGATTCCATTCAAATTCTTTTATCTATCACAAAGAGCTCTGTTTAGGAGTTCTGTTATAATGAATTTGAAATTTTTTGTATTCAGACAAAATAGAAACTTTTCATCCTTATCAGTTCATTTCATTTCAGAATTTAAAATACTGTCAAAGTTCTGTTTCCTGAATGCCTTCAGATCTTTTGCAAGATTTAGGATGTTCTTTATAAGGGCCATTGCATCTTTGCTTTGCAGCCGCACATCTTGAAGTAAATGAATTAAATATATTCTCACTGAGCATGTGACGAAACTATCTTCACTTATTTTCCAGGATGGCAATTCAAACATATTTTTTTATTTAATTCTCGTCATTCTGGACAAGGAAAATTTGTGTCAAAAATTCATCCTTTTGTGAAGTGAACTGATTGTAGTGTGGTGTTGACATTGCACAAGTGACATCACTGCTGGCATAGCTTTTAGATCATATGAAAATATGCTTATATAGGAAAAGTTTGTTGTTTGTCTTTGTACAATAAAGTGTTTTTATGTTTTCCAGATGATACTGTCTTCATGAACTCTACAAAGTACCTTGCATTGGGTGGATATAAGCCCTGAATAATTGTTAGCTTTTTGTTCTCCACATAATAATGTGGTACCCTTAATGGGGCACGTGTTTTGATTTTAGAGCTTTGAAATTTAAATTATTTACTGAAGATGAATGCTTAAAAAGCACACTAGAAGGAATTGAGAACGTCATTTACTCTGCACGAGAAAAATAAAAAATGAGCTGCTTAACGAAGTTACAGATTTGAAAAAGTTTCCATTTTAAAATTGCAATTATTGCAAATTTTATTATTGACAAGTTTCAGAGACTTGAAGGTTGTCAATCACTCATTACTGAAGACGGTGAGAAACTGTACACCAATAATTTGGAAGAACCTGGAAGTTACACAGACACACAATTGAAATTTGTGCTAAACTGGAAGAGAAATTGCAAAAATCTGGAGTCTGAAATTAAATGAGGAAATTTAAATTACCGAAAATGAAACTGAAATTTTCTGAAATATAATTAAAACCACAAAAATGATCAAAATTTGTCCACATACAAAAGAATTCCCCAAAAGATGAATTGCATAAAGATACAGATATTTGCCTTCAACTAGAATTTCGCAGCCCAAGTTGTCAGAGAAATTTTCTGGTTTACAACTTTCAACTTTAGATAACAACTGGAACTGATTTTGTTTAGGTAGATGCATGGAAAGCATTTATTTATTTATTTATTAGTATTATTATTTTTTACAATGGCTATTTAAAACCCTTGCATTACAGGTACTATTTCTTACACAGTATGCCTTAAACACACAGCCTTAAATACTTAATCTAAGAAATTTATGTAGCAGACTTTGGAATTTCCACTATTATTGTTTGTTGCACATGGTCATTGTCAGGCACATGTATGTATCACAGACAGAGTTATACTGAATGCTATATTTCTTCACATATTTTCCTCCATTTATTATTAGTTTTTTAAAATTAATTTTATCATCCAAAAATTAGGAGAAGAAAATCGTGCAAGTAATTTAATTTTCAAAAGATGCTATTACAGTAAGAACATAAAAAAATTAAAAAGTAGTCATGGATAAATTACTGTAACTATCACAATATTATTTCTTTAAAAGAAACTTGCATTCCAATAAGAACATACAATAATAGTAATAGTAAAGCATCTAACAAGATATCTTCATTTCTGTTTCCCTCTAACTTGAGCCTCACCCGTTCCTATTGCTGTCAACTGCTATTTCCTAGGCCACAAATCATTCAATGCTGCTGCTGGTCTACAACTTCTGCACTATTTGCTACAACTTGCAAGTCTTCACCATCATCATCATCATCATCATCTTCATGACCATTAAGCCTGTCTTCCAATGTCTAATGATCTTCAGAACCACTAAGAGCATCATATATCCCTGTTTTCTTGAAGCTCTCCACTATTATTGCTTTATCAATCAGAACTCGTGTATGCAAAATGTACAAGCAGATCAATTCAAAGGATGGTCTCTGGACTTTTCCAGTTCTAGTAAAATTGTGCAACCTTCCTGATATCCATTCATTACAAAACTTTCTGAGATTATTTTTTAATGATTTATCCACTGATACATTCAGTGGTTGCAGAAGTGATGCAAGTCCTCCTAGAATAATGATAGAAATGGTGTTTCTTAATTCTCTTTTTAACCCAAAGGGGCATTAGATCCAAAGGGCTAGTCTCAAAACAGTATTTTGCGTCACTTTCTGCATTGGTTCATTTTTCAAACTGTTTCCACCAAATATTATTGCCAAGTATTATATTTAAAGAAACGAAGAATCTGCATGAATGTTTCTCATATTGTGAAAAAAACAACAGTACCTAGAGGATTAAATAAACAACAGATCAAATTTTGAATAACATAGTCCTCCAACAGAACATGGGCACTTGGTCAAATATCAATTTGTTTTATTATCTATTTCAAATTTTGTAAATCTTTAATGCATTTTTTATTAATAAACTCAACGATTTCAAAGTAAGCAGTGGAAACACTGTACAGAAAAAACATTTTTATCTCCAGCGTGCTAGACTGTGTATCAAAAAGTCTAAAAATATTCTGCTTTTAAATCTTTTGCGGCATTGCTGTTGAATTGAATTTTATGTGGTTTAATGCGAAGAACATGATAATTAATTAAAAAAGGTAACACACAAAAACGTTAAAAATCCAGCCTCTTGGGCATAATATTAAATCTGAGATCATTCAGATTTTCTTTTTTTCCTCTGTAATTAACTGATACACACTAGGTGATTTTCTGAGAGGTTTTGATTCAATGCAGACTACTTATCTTTGATACAAAGCAGCAGTCTTCAAACTTTGTAGACTCACGAAACCCTTAGTTCTAAGGGGTTTTTTTTTGGGGGGGGTATATATCTTCTGTGAAATGCCCAGGTAAACTGTGCAAGATTACTAGTGACTTTTTATGCAGAACAGCACCTGGCCGACTGTTTCATACAATTTTTAACCACTCTTTCATTACATCAGATGAAAGAGAATATTATGCAAATCTTTTTCAAATTTTCAGAACCCAGGGCTAAAAAGCTAGAGAAAATATGTTATTCCTCTAGAAAAATGTTTTTATGTACAGTCAAAAGTCGTTAATCCGGACTCATCAGGACTTCGGCTATTCTGGATTATCGATTTTTCCGGATTATAGATCATCAGTTTAAATCTCGTAAGATGGCATGCAGAAATTCTAAAATTAAAAATATGAAACCGTAATTTATGAAATAAAGAACAATTATGATCTAAAGGATATCAAAATTTATAAAAAAAAAAAGCTTAATATTTATTTGTTTACTTTATTAAACATTTCTTTCAATGTAAGTTATTTAAGTTGCTTCATTTTATGTGATAATACTTTCTCTTTAATTCTATAAACAGACATAATTTCTTGTTCAGTTACTAAGTTCCGCTGTTCAAGTCCCGTTAATTGCTGTGCCGAGAATACCGACTAACTTGTCAATCGAATTTTTTTCGTTTTCACTAACCTCTCTGTCACATTCTTCATGTCTTTATCCATTTTTTGCAGCAATTCCACTTTTTGTTTGTTGGACATCGAAACATACTTTCGTTTTGTAGATCCTTTGGAAGTTCCAGCATTGGAAATTCTATTTGACATAATCGAAAGTTCAAGTTTACTTTTATAAAATTGCTCTTACAGTCTGCAAAAAATAATAAGCGGGATCCAATTCGAAGATTAAGAAACAACGCAATCATTAACATTAAGTGAAATAGATAATTAGATAATTTTAGCTTACACCGTCTGTTATACATTAAATGCGCAGACGAAAACATATTCTGCACTTGCGCACACGCATATGCGCAGTAGTCAAGGTCTTACATGCATGCGTAAAACGCCTATGTGCATGCGTCAACGCAGCGTATGCGCAGAAAGTTTTTAGCTTTGAGGTCCGGATTATGGGTGTCCGAATTAACGACTTTTGACTGTATTAAAATATTAGGTTATACTGTTCAGCTATAATGAGTAACTAGAGGACTTTTGAACAGTATTACAGAAGCCAAAATTCAACATAAACAGCTCAGAAAAATATAAGATTAATTACAGATCTTTGAAAATTGCATCTGGATCACATGATGGCATTTAATAACTAGCAATTCTGCACAACAGTAATCCCATCCCTCATACTAAGTATTCTCAAAATCAAATGTCTAGCTATTATGCAATGATTTCTCAGCACAAGAAATGAAAAATGATAGTTCTTCAGCTACTGCAGTTACCATAGAATGAATCTGATCAATGAGACAGTTTCCTCATACATGATTTGAGTATTTTTGTTGAGATCAATCAACATGAAAAATGATTAAAAAACTGACATCAAAAGTACGTAAGCTTGAAAAAAATTACAGATCAGGTAGCAAAAACTATGTAATTTTTTTTAGTAGAAATGAGAAAGTATATTTTAAAAAAATAACCTTCATTTCATCCTTATCTTCAATTATTATCATCTTTAAAAGCAAATTAAGATTTTTAGCCATTTTGCACCTACTAAATTAAAACTTGGGTCTCTCCATAAGGGATGACAATAATAGTCATACTGCAATACATAAACTAATATATGAAAAATTGTACATATTTTGCTGTATTCATTTAGACACTTTACATTTTTAGGATGATAAAGAAAGTGTCCATTTTTCTTTGAACTGAAAAATAAATGTATTTGTTTTGAAATTTTAGTAAATTCAGTTTTGAAAAATTTTGTGCTATGTATAAGATTTAAAGTTTCTGTAAAATAAAGGCAAATAGCACAACCATTCATTCAATTTGTGAGTTCAATGATGCCTTACACTCAAAGCAAATGAGGAAAAAATATGAGTAAGTGCCACAGTTTGAATAAACATACAATTTCTTTTCAAAGTGTAACCTAAGCTATATATTACCTAATATATATATTAAAGCAAACTGAAGGAACAGTTAAAAAAACTGCAAAATTTTGTTGTCAGTAAGGGTAAAAACAGCTTTGACTGCAATAATTTTTACTGTCCTTTATCAACGAAAATCAGACATGAAATGCATAGTTTTAATGCCTAAAAAAATTATATAGAAAATTTAATAGCAAGATTTATCATAGAAACTAGAGAAAAATTATTTCAAATTTTATAAAAATGTTATGATACTTTCTAATTACCCACACCTCCATTGAAAAACTGAGGGAAAAAAAAAAAAAAAAAAAAGGTACTGTTGAGCCAATGCATCAAGTCACCAAAAAGGTATAGGGATAACAGCAGCACAAAAAATTACAGAACGTTTAAAAAAAAAAAAAAAAAAAAAAGGTACTGTTGAGCCAATGCATCAAGTCACCAAAAAGGTATAGGGATAACAGCAGCACAAAAAATTACAGAACGTTAAAAAAAAAAAAAAAAAGCAAGCACTTTATTGGTTTATTTTTTTAATAAATGTAAAAAAAGTTAAGTATCATTGGATGCATTGTTGAAACAGAAGATGTAAAGATATCCACATAACCATTTCTCTCCAAAGTCTGCAACAAATACTTTCTAATAGAGTTAAAGATAATAGAAAGTACCAATTTCACATATCTCATTATTTACATATTGTAAGAGACTGTATACTGTAAGGAAAAAAATACATCAAACCTGATGAGCTAATCGGTGGGTCAGATTGAATTCTAACATTCTCATCATAAGATAGTCTGCTGACATCAAAGCTCTCCTTAACATTAAAAACACTGGATCATCTACATCTAAAGGGTCTGTAGTCTTATTTGCAATGCTAAAAAAAGTGAAACAACTATAAATAAAATTCTTACGTTTAAAAAAAAAAAAAAAAAAATCAATAAAACTATTTCCATAATTCAACTGCACTGCATCTTTATTTCATACTGGCCAACTTATGAAAAATGCATACGTACAAAATGTTGTATATGTAAAGAATCTGATGAGTGATCTGTATTACAATATGCTTTCGTTAAACATAAATACAATAACAGATTTCACAATTTTTGATTAAACATCTGCATAACCTTTATATTTTTAACTGCATAAAATTAGATAAATATAGTAGTGCCTCCATACATATAAAAATGTGATAGTACGTTACAAGAAACAACATGTATAAATGCATTTATATGAAAATATAGATATATAGGTATATGAATTATATGTAAATAGAAACATACATAAATATGGCAACATTTAACTGATAAATTACACACAGTAACATATTACCACTATTAATGCAGCACAAATACTCACAACACTTCCCACAATGCAGCATTTGTACACTATATCATAAATTACTACATGCTATGAAACATCATATATTCACACTGCGTTTCACTTCTCTGTCTTGTACAGGGTTTGTTTCAGAAATAATGCATCAGAATATTTTTTTCAGTGTTTATTAATCGGACTGATAATCACTTAAAAATTTGACCCTCCTGCATCAATACATATTTGGCAGAGAGATTTCCATGCATCGTTAAGTCCTTTGGAAGTTCTCAATGATGCCCTTTAAAAGCTCATCAATGCCAATGTGGTGATGTCTGTGGTATCTAAATGACACCCTTTCAGAGATTTTCTTACCTTAAGAGACAGAAAAAAGTCTGGTGATGCCAAGTTAAAGAATCGTTGTAATGTTGATTTAAGTCAAATAGACGTGCACAACAAAGAGAGTGTGGCTCAGAGTACTGTCATGGTGAAGCATCCATGAATCCTTGGTACATCTGATCCTTTGTTTCAATCCATCTGAGGACTTCTACGTAAAACCTGGCATTGAGGATATGCCCAGATGGTACAAACTTACAACAGACTACCCTTTTAGCACAAAAAAAAAAAAAAAAAAAGACAATAAGCATGGCTATGATTTTCAATTTGCTCATTCTTGTCCTTTTTTTAATGACAGGACTGTACCATGTGCCATTCAGCACTCTTTTTGTTGCACAGTCATACTTAAAGATCCATATCTCATCACCAGTTATTTCATTGTTAAAAAACTAGGGTCTTCTTCACAACACTGCACAAGTTTTTTACAAACAGCTGTTTTTCTGACTGTTGGTCAGAACTCTCGGAAAGTTTCGCCCACACTTTCTGCATCTGCAATTCTTTGGTCACAATCCAGTGATAGCATTTTTCGAAATGTTTAGTATGCCATCTAACAACCAAACACTCATTCTTCAGCCAGAATTCAGTAACTTGTACCACAATGTCATCAGCACACAATGTTGCAGGGTGTCCAGAGCAGGCTTCATTGGAGATGTTTTGGCTTTCTCTGAACATATTGTGCCACCTGTTCAACTGGGATTTAGTCAGAGTCATCACCAAAGGCCTCTTGAATCATCTGCTGGGGTCTTGCCCAGTTTGACGAGAATTCTGATAGTGTATCGCTACTCTAGGGATTTCTTCATCATGACTTTAACAAACTTCCAAACAGGGAATCACTCTATTGTATTCCCTGATACTCTGAAAGCTGAGCCGACTGTCATACAGTACAGTGTGTTCTCAAAGCCCACTACCACACAACCCACTTAACGGGAATGCTTTCTGATGGATAGTCACGTATGAAAATAATGTGACACATTACCTCTGAGACAAACCTTGTACATATGAAAATAAGAGATTTTGATCACATAACTTAATCTTTAAGAGATGATAGTGCAGTGAGTAACTAAAACTTCACTGTACAGCATCATTGTCAAACAATATACTAGCCAATATGTACATGTAAGATATAATAAAATATGATAGCTGTTTAAAAAAAAAATTATGACCTCAAAATTAATGATTCTAGATTTTTAAACTCTTTTCCTAAATTCATCTGTTCTCCCACATTTGAGATCTTTCTATGTTACGTAACATTTAAATGCAGATACCTATTGTCCAATCAAATTAACTGTAAACGAAAACTTCTCTAACTCGAACTGAAACTATTGACTCCTTCCCTTCTTCCTCTGTGTTACAGCGTTCTCTTTCACTTCCCTGCTGGCAAGATGCTGCTGCTTATTTGTCTAAGATGACGTCGTACTTCAAAATGGAACTTATTGTATTCAATTATGATTGAGAAATATCTTATCTGCAAAAGAATGATTTGATATGCATAAAAAATAACAATTGGGATTCTTCAAGCTCAGTAGTGTTATATGCATCATCATGCTTTTCCACTCAGCTCTACTTTCAGCCACTACGGCCTTCTCAGTCATCTACGTAGACACTTAAAATACATTAATAAGAAAAAAAGGAATGAAATGAAATATCTTAACTATATATTGTTTTATTTGCGATAATTGGTGTAATCATAACAGCTTCATCTATAACAGAATATAAAATATTCATGCAAAAATCCTAATGTGAAATTATCACAATAAAATAACTGATACGCTATTTTGAAAATTTTGCTTTTGAATAATAATTCTTACTGTAATATTAAATTTTTGCTTGTTGTATACGAGTCCAGTGTATAAATTTCTATTGGCAATATCACACCAAAATTTTGATTTGATAAATTCAACTATTGAATCAATTGATCTCAAATTTAAGCTGTTTCAAACATAGAGTTGGTGCTTTTAGTTCTGAATCCAGCATCATAAAATCATTTTCCTTCAACAATCGATCCCCATTTCTAACATTGTTTCATCTTCTTTTAAATTAATTAAGCTTTGAAGCAGTAGCACATCATTTTCAAAACTACACATGCTCAAATCAAGCAACTGTTAAGGTTCTCTTATTGAATATAAAATATGCTCACATTTCAAGTGTTATCAGCTACATGTGGCTAGTGGTTACTGTATTAGACATGTTTGTATCACATCAAGCAGAAATGACAGGACAATAAAAATTATGATTTTTCGTGACAACAATAAAAATCAATTAAATAATGGTCAAACTTATAAATGCATATTTCAGCTCATGGTTAGGACTGCTCTTGAAAGTCAGTACAGTCAAATACCGAAAATCCGCCGACCTGAAATTTGCGTTGCCTCCCAAAATATAAACATTCAGTTTATAGGTTCCGGAAACTGCAACATGGAGTACGAAATATCGAAGAAAAAATACTTATCGGATAACGACGTCATAATTACCGAATAATAATGAGTCATAACGAAAATACCACATTATTGACATCATGATAAAAGTTTTTTTCCCTCCAATCTGCATCAAGGTAAAAAAGCAGACGATTCACTCAAATCTTCTTTCAAGTTCACAATTCCCGTTGTTGTAATTTCCGAGCTTTGTTATTTCATGAGATTGTTTAGTGCTGCCGTTTTTTTATCCTAATATTTTGTGGATGAATTAAGAATATTTTAAATTTCAGTGCTTTTGAATACAATGACAGATAAGAAACGCACTCATGATTTTACTGCTTGGAATGTTGAAAAACGTAAACACGTTGCACTGATGGTAATGCAAAAAACGGAAATTCTGCAAAAGATGGAGGCAGGTGCTACTCCTCGGTTTATAGCAGAATCGTATGGAATTGCGACACAGACTGTGTATGATATACGGAAAAATAAAGAAAAGCTGTTGAAATTTTACAGCAACAGTGATTCTAACACCAGAATCTGAAACTGGAAATCTTTACAAGAGGCGAAATCAGCAAACCTCGATATTCAGGACTGCTTGCTGAGAGAAAAGGTTAAGCAGATTCATGCTGATTTAAAAACAGATGAGCCTAATGTAAATGAATAATATAATCGATTTATATATGTAATAATAATTTAATGCATATAATAAATTATTTTAATAATGTATATAATAATTTAATTAAATGTATCTAATATGCCTTATTTATTTTGCACTTTTAGTCTGAATATTATGATTTATCTTTTCTGTCCTTAAATCCGCAAAATCCTAAAATCCGCACAACCTCTGGTCCCAAGTTTTGCGGATTTCTGGACTTCTACTGTACTGAGCACATTCAAGCAGCTATGTTTCCCAGTGTTTTACTTTGTACATATTTTTTATAGTTTATAAACTATTCCTCCCTCAGGATTGGTTGACTGGTTGACTCATTGCTATAAAAATCTATACACACACATGAAAAAATGTCTTCAGAATTGAACAAAATTTTATACAGTTGAGTAAAATGTTGAAATAAGAAGTGATTAAAACAAAACGACAATTTATTACAAAAAAAACTACAAATGAATGGAGGTTCTGAGACCCCCATAGGGTCACCTATCGTGTGAATATATGATGCGATATGGGCAGGCAAGCATTAAGGCATAGAGGTCTTGAATGGTGTTCTGCATCATCTCATTCCTCAGCTCCAATAATAAGCATGCCTCTAATTTAGTCAAACTTCTATGCTGTTGATTTTGCAGTCCCACATGACTGCAGATATGCTCAATCAGTGACATATCTGGAGATCATGCAGACCAGTAAAGAGTGGTAATATGAAAAGGCATTTTATGACACTCTTGCTTCGTGTGGATGTGCACTGTCTTATAGAAAAACTGGTGTCATTTCTGCCCAAACAATTAAACCATTGCTGAAAATTAACTGGGTTCCATTCGGTTACAGTCCAATCTCATTGAGCACAACATCATTCCATAGAGACAATGATGGATGTCATTAAGAGCATACACAATGGACACCATGATATCAATCCTTCAGCCAGGTACCTAATGATAGTATGGATAAACATAGGGGCCTGTAATGAAAAGTGCTGCCTGTGCCCAGATGGTAGTCAATGATGCCTGTGTATGTATGCCGGGTGATGTGACTGGGCTCTTGAATATTGATCTGTTAAGAGCACTTGAATCTGCCTATAATGTA